AAAAGTACGTTCCAAGATTCGGCCACGGGATACCAAAACTAACGGAAATTAGACCACGAAATACCAAAAAAAAAAAATCCCACACGACGTGCGGCTGGTGATGCGAGTGGCGGCATGTTCGAATGGAGGAAGTTAAAGGAACAAAGATGTTTGATTTAATAAATCTGAGAGTAACGGGAAGAGGTGACACAATGGTTAAAGGCGTACTGATGCACCTCCATTGGCCAAAGGAATGAGTCCGCTTAGATTAATCAAGCTTTCCAATTCCACTACAGATGGGTCAATTAACTCATGTACCAATTACCCGGCTGTGTAGGAGGAAATACTTGCCGATTCCAACCAGAATCACTCCAATACATAAACCGCTAGCTGTGTCAATTTATATGTCGGTCGGCACATTGGTATGTTACGCTATGCTGTGCGCTCGCCAAATGCTCGTCAATGTGATAAGAAAAGTGATAGCACAAACCGACTTTTAAATGGACTACAAACTACTTGGAACGCGGTATCTATTAATTAACAAGCTGTTGCGGGTGCGATAACAGCTTAACAGCACCATAGGATACTTCCATATGGAGCGTTTATAGGCGATAGTACGTGCGATTAGGTTCTTAGGCGATTAGTCTATGATATAAAACATACGTATAGATTGGGCGAGTAGGCGATTAGGCGGGGAAGACTACATACGTATTGATTGGTTTGCTCCGCCCATAGAGCGTTGTAGGCGAGTAGGCGATTAGGCGATTAGGCGATCGCTCAATGGGCGGAGCAACAAATCAATACGTATCCTTCCCTTATCGCCTACTCGCCTACTCGCTTGATCGCAGCACGATCGCCAACTATGAACGCTCCATTAGAACATTCGCGGTTACTCCACAATGTGGTAGGGTGGTAGGATTGCATCTGGAGATCAGTACAAGTGGGAAAACTGCCGCATAGACAAGGGCAACCGTTGAAACGCCCTTGTCTATACAGCAGTTGGGGAAGGGGGGGGGGGGGGGGGGGAATCGGTCATTCTAAAATAGCGCTGGATCACAGATTCTAAAGATATCTTGGAAATATCTTCATAAACCAATCAGTGAGCCTTCTAAAGCTTCAAGCACCAGATAAGCAAAACATATGGCACCAAATCTTCCTCCCCCTCCATCTAAAGCGAATTACATACACCAATTACATATAGAAAGATCACTGAAAAAAGTGATAAAGTGATCGATATTCGAAACTTCGCAAACCAAGCCGAGCCTCTCGAAGCTTCAAGCACCAGGAAAGTAAAAACATATGGCACCAAATCTTACCCCCTCCCCCACATCTAAAGCCAACGACACATCAACCAAATCACTGGAAAGGGATAAATCTCTGTAATCTTTTAGAGACAATGGGTGCATGATAAAACCAGAAATGATCCTTTTTCAAATGGCACGCTAAGGGAATGCAGGAACTTAGAGATGACGCTAGAAGCAGAAGAAAAATACCTTAGCAACAGCTAGATTATCGCTGGCGAGGGTAGAAAAACCCAGAAACAAGAGCTAGCACGGCCAACACTAATGAGACGGGCTCCATGCTTTTCGTTAAGGACCATGTACTGCAGCGAAGTACAAAATTAAATAATAATCCACTACAAGTGTTTGAAGTACAATTGAGCAACTCTATAATATAATACATGTCAGCAGAAAATCTCTATTGATAATGTCAAAATTGTTGGAACAAAGTTTCGTTTTTCCAGTCTGAGATTAGCAATATTCCTATTCACGAAAACATTTGCGGAAAATTCCAGTGGTGTACTTCTCACTTCCTGCACAACTATCACACCACGTAAGCGGCGCACTTGTCAAATATGAAAATACCTTTCAGCATGTTGTAAGGGTAAGCGCTGGGAATAAAGTATACGATTTGTCTTTTCTATACGGCA